TGAGTGATGTATCTTGAAGATATCGAGGTTTACGCTTCCGATATGTTGTTGTTTATATATCTTTTTAAACTTGAGTTTTTGTGGCTGCTGCCTCGTAGAGGCGAAGCCTCTATGTCATCGAGTTTGTGTAAGTWAGTCCGTAAATATAGATAAACTTCGGAACCAATCACGGCTTAAATAATAAAATCTCCCTCTTACCGAAGAGTAAGCGATGCGACATCGAAGAGATGGCGACAAATAAAACCTCGTAGTTGTACTTGGACGATAGTACTGTGTAGATTGTTTAAGACAAGTAACCTAGGTGTTTTCATAAAATTAAACCATATTATTTATCACAGCTTTCATTTGGTATTTCTATACGGTAAAATGAAAGAAATAAAGGTTATGTAAAGGTTTTGTAGGTGTTATTCAAATTTTAAGCCATGTTTACGCCGAGATTTTCTTCTGACAAGAGAGCGCAAACAAACATAGCTGACCTCAGTCAATCAGCAGATAAAAAATATCAGCCTCTTCGAAGGGTAATTGAGCCTCTTCGAAGGGTAATTGAGCCTAGTCGAAGGGTAATTGAGCCTCTTCGAAGGGTAATTGAGCCTAGTCGAAGGGTAATTGAGCCTCTTCGAAGGGTAATTTAGCCTCCTATCTCCTTAATATTTATACCAAATTATACGGTACTTTTGCACTGTTGTATTTTATACTCGTCGTTTTTGAAATAAAGTTGTTGTTCTCCTATCGAAATAATAATATCTTGCAGCAAACGCAAGCACATAAAAAAAAATTACCAATGTTAATTTATGCCCTAAAATAATAAAATAAAATCGATATCAACATTAAACCTATATAAACCTTTACTTTCAACATTTATATTTTTTTCAGGAACACCGCATATTTCACTGAATTGCCTATATATCCCTCATATATCTCAATAGTCAGCTACCAACTTCCATTYCTTTCCTTTATAACAATAATTTCTTGTGGCAGTAGCCACAAGCGCTTATTGAGCGCCTATTTTTATCATTACCCTTTGACTTATTAATTTCGTAAATTCTGATTTGATTTTTCTTTGTAGTTTATGGTTTATATCTCTCTTATTGGGCACCTTTTTTTTTATGATATTAAGACTAATATTTTAAAGCAATCAATTCAAATGGATCCAGAATGTGCCATTGAATTTATATATTATGACATTTTGATGACTCCTAGTCCATAGAAAAACACACTTCCATTTACTAAATATACATATTTAATTTTTTTCCCTGAAAATTCACGATAATTGAACAAACAAATCGTAATCTAATCTTATTTACCTAATCTCGTAACTTCCTTCGCAACCTGGGTTGCTGGCAGAATCACTTTTTAAAAGAAAGGAACTCTACAGAAGTCGTGTAGTTCTTTTTGTTATAATTATTGTCCAACCAATGTTCTTGATAAAAAATGTAACTTTAAACCATATACAGCCAATTTCATTAACGTTGTCCACCGAAAAAAGACATTTACACATTTACACATTTACACATTTACACATTTACACATTTAGACTAAAGGAAATATCGCGTGTTTCATTTTATATTCTTTGCCTCGTGTGCGTCAACCTGAACTTTTTAAATGTAAAATTCAACTCGTGGATCGAAAATACAGAATGCCCCGACCATTTTAATAGTGAGGATTTTCAAAAKATGGAGAATGGTATTTCAGCGTTTGTTTTATGCCAGAACGTTCGAGGAAACACGTGATATTTCTTTTAGTCTAAATGTCTATCTAAATGTGTAAATGTCTTTTTTCGGTGGACAACGTTAATGACATTGACTGTATATTGACAAAACTTTGTTATGTTGTTCAATGAGTTTTAGTTGGTGACGCTATAAAGTTTAAGCCCAATCCRAGTCTTATTTGTGAAGATATTTTAAAATTCAAAATATTTACAATTAATATGCCTCGGTTTGAGCTCAAACTTTATACCGTCATCAACTACAACACATTGAACATCATACCAAATTTTTACCAAGATTTATTAAAATAAATACTGACAGAGAATGAGCGAAAGAGAAAACATGAATGAAGGAATTGGGGAAAAAGCGCAAAACGTTCTAATTTCGTTCTTGCTTAAACCTCCCTTTTTTTTCATTTTTTCAAAGTTGATTTTTCTAACACACGAAATAATAGATTTTTGTAGGAATTTTTGTTCGACTTTATGACATTTTTTAAGAGCACCCAAACTACGAAATATGACAAATCAATATGTATCTCTTTGTCTTTTTGTAGAATGATTGACTAGCCTTCATTCTTGCAAACATATAGTCTTCAAATGACCGATTATCTTATGAATCTTAATTTTTTCTGATCACTTCCGGTGGCGTAATTTTTGCTGATTAAATGCTGATTATCTCGAAAACAAGCTCGGGACAAAAATTTCTCTTTCCAAATTTGGAATCAGCATTAAAATTCGATTCGGAAAATCGACGTTTTAAGAAAATTTTACATTTTTTTTCCAAAAGTAGGCAGTCACCTTAAGGGTTACTTCCAAAATGACGAGTTCATTGTCAAAGAACCTTCCCAAGAAACAGCACCAGAACATGATGAGCCAGTAAAACCAATCGGATGTTCTTGTCTAACAAATTAACTGGGCTTCCGTTTTCTGCTGATAAAGTTTTTTCATCTTTTTACAAGAAAATCAATAACCTTGTAAATAAGCATGTACCTATAGTAAAACTTTCGTGCCATAAAGCTAAACAATTTTCTAAGCCTTGGATTACAAAGGGATTAAAAACTTCAATCAAGATTAAAAATTATCTTTTTCATTCGGGGGATCAAGAAAAATAAAGGGTGTATAGAAACAAATTATCAAGGTTAACTCGAATTAGTAAGCAGCCTACCAAGCTTATTTCGATGGTAATTTGTCAAATATAAAGAAAACTTAGCAGGGAATTAATCGCATAATAAATCACAAAAAGAAAAAGTTAAAATCTATAAGTGCTATTAAGAAGCTTAGTGGAAATGAAATAGTACGTGACTCTGTGAGAATTCCTAACATTCTTAATAAGCWTTTTGCATCTGTTGGTTTCAACCTAGCAGCTAAATCATCTCCATCAACAAATGATTATTTCTTTAAACCAGCTACACCTGAAGAGGTCGAGTATGAAATTATATTGCTTTCTAACAACAAATCACATGGTCTATACTCTTGTCCTTCAAGAATTTGATGTGTGCAAAGAGTTTCTTCGGCAATGTCTTAGCATAAATAATAAATATTTCAATTCAATCAGGGAAATACCCCAAAAAACTCAAAATTGCCAAGATTGTACCTGTATATAGAGATGATGATGAAACTAATCCCAATAATTACCGGCCCATTTCGTTATTATCAAATTTTAATAAGATTATTGAAAAAGTTATGTATAAAAGATTGATAAATCTTATCGAGGAAAATGACATTTTACTTGAATCACAATATGGCTTTCGTGAGGCTCATTCTACTCAACATGCTGCTCTTGATATCATAAATGCCATACAGAGTAATATGGATAAAAAACTGTTTTCTTGTAGTACTTTCATCGACTTAAAAAAGGCATTTGACACTGTTGACCATTCGATACTTTTAAGTAAGCTTTATCATTATGGGATTAGAGGCATTATTAATGATTGGTTTGCATCTTACTTGAAAGACCGATTTCAAACAACACAGATCGGAACGGTAACTTCAAATAAAGAAACCACCTTGTGCGGTGTCCCTCAAGGYTCTATTCTAGGTCCATTATTATTTCTGCTATATATAAATGATATCTATAAATGTTCTAACAAACTTAAATTTTATCTCTATGCTGATGACACTAACCTAAAAGCCTAAAAACTCTTGAATTAACTGTTAATATTGAACTTGCCAGATT